ATCATATGCATCATTCGTCCAGAGCTGGCCCGAAGTCAACTCATTCACTTGCGAGTTGTGACCCACAAATTCGGAACTGACAAAATGCCAGTCAGGACGAAATGAAAAGCTTCAAACCAAAACCATGTCAGCAAAGCGTGCCCCAGAAACCCAAAATTTACGCCCAACTTTCAACTGGCGCGTCATAGATAAAATTCGCCGCGCTCTATTTTATATCCAACTGGTTATTGAATGACGCGATGTACGGCTATTCACTAGAAGGAGTTCACAGAGGTTGCGAATCTTACTTCACTTGACTTTTCTAACTGACCTTGCCATTCCGTTTCAACTCAGCATTCGATGCCGACGTTCACAAACTAACCTCTGAGTGCACTTCAAATACCGAAAATTACATGAATAAAATTCAACTCATTCCAAACAATGTGATAGAAGAAACACATTCAGAAATCTCTTACAATCTGCAAATTCGTTAAGATGAATATAGTACGCTTTAGAAGACTCGATATGTTTTCAACACACTCATGGTGCAACTTCAAGTTTGGTAACTTACACGGAGAATGTAAATCATTGACAATGCTCATTTTGTATAATCTAGCGTAATAGGTTATAAAATGTTTCAGCAGACGCTATGGTAAGCATCTTCAATGTTGCGAGACAAATTGTGATAGAGCGAAAGAAGCTGATCATATATATATCTTCAATTCTCCAACTAAAAACATCTGTGCACTGGCAAAACCGTTTATAATCAACTAAACTGTCTATCCCTATTTTTTAAAGTTATAAAGCATGCGAGTTAGTTTTCAAAATTATGATAAGGAGCATTGTAGCACGTCAGATGAAGCTCCACGAGAACCACACCATCGGTGGGAGCTTTCAATCAGAAATTGGAATATATCTTCACTCAGACTGCAAGGGCAGCAGTCAGTAATGAGGCCAGAAGGTAGTACCGACTCCTGTTGACCAAGCGCCAGGGCTTTGGAATTCTGATCCCCTGTGGATGTAAGATATTCGACATGTGTAAAATGTTGTGATGTCCGAAGTCTTTTTCCTGCTGAAACGGCTCTGTTCGATTCAACATGACATTTGTCATAGAACAGTAAAAGTTTTGAAGTGACACAAGTGCAAAACTATAACGTTTCATGTAACTTTGGAGCTTCAAGAGTAGAACATTTCGAAAAAAAGGATTAAACATTGTTTTATATGGATACTTTCCTCCTGAATTCAACGTTTTTTTTACTCTATCTCTAACATTAATCAAATTTTTCATATTTTAGCACTATTTTCACTGTTATCAATTTTGCCAGTTACTAATTTAACTCATAAACGGAGATCATTGATTCCACGATCTGCACTCAGGTCGGTATTGGCGTTCTGGTATATTCGAACCTGACTCATAAAATCATTCAATGGAAGCCTGCCAGCGGAAGAGTGGCAGTTCTCCTGCTGAAGCTGTAATAGGCTAAAGCTTTGATATTGTTACAGGCTCATGTAGCAAGTTTCGAGTGAGAATATGAGTCCTTCTTCAGATATGGAATGGAGTACATTTCTACGAAGTATCGACTACGGAATCCCTCATTCTAGTGGGCGATTTTAATACACATGACGCAGTAGACGGTGAAAAGTGGAAAGGTCGGTCCTTGCGACCTCAAAAATAACGGCATGAGTTCTCTGCGGGTTTTGCACGCAAAGGACGGTCCATTATGAACACCTTCTTTGAGCATCGAAGAGTGCATCAGTACAGCTGGTACCGGGGAGCTTGTGCACAGAAGTCGATGATCTATTTGATCATCGTTTCGTCTGTCTTGCGACGCTGTGTAATGGATGTTCGCTCTAAGAGACGGGGCGCAGCTGTCCACCGATCAGGTGATACCTCCTGATGCGAGAACCAGGTAAACGTTCCTTGAGAGCGACGTATTTGAGGCTGCCACAAAATTCTGCGGTTTAAACGGGTTGGCCTGTCGCCTGATGGTCAGAAAAGATCTTCACTGTGGACACGAGAGGTATAATTGGTAGTTAAAGATAAGAAGACAGCGTTCAAGAAATGGCTTGGAAACAAAGAGCTTTCTACTCTTATGCGATATTTAAAATCGCGGAAGGTGGCACCGAAAACAGTCCTGAAAGCCAATGCTTATTCCTGGGAGAAGTTCTGTGAGGTGTTGGGGTCGAATTTCCACACGGTAAAGAATTTTTTCCAGCAAACCATTCGCCGCCTTCGAAGTGAAATAAAGGGTAATCTAAGAGTCTTGAAGGAAAGGTGTGGAAACCCTCTTATCGATGATAAGGACATCCTTTGGCGATGGAGAGAGTAGTTTGAGAAACTGCTCAACGCCGATTAATCAGGGGAAGATTCACGTGC